TTTTTTTTTTTTATATATATCGGATATGGAATTAGTAGATTATATAATTTATTATACAAAATAAGATTATATATATATATATATATACTATATATTTTTTGTTTGATATTTATATTGAAACCAAACAGTTGGGGTGGTTACAAAAAATATTTGTAAAAATGTTATCCGACATTATAATTGGTGGATCAAATAGCCATACTTAATGGGCTTAATGGGCGGATAAATGATCTTAAATATTTTTTAAACAATATTAACAAAGTTGGGCACTCAAAAAGTCGGGTGACAGGTGACTCATATATTGTGAAACTAGTCATGTAAAGCATTAATTAAATTTTTAATACAATTGGAATTTTTTTTTATATTCAAATAAACATCTGACTTTGACTTTGATGAAATTTCTTTTCGAAACATTAAAAAAATCATTCCTTTTTTTTTAATTATTAAAAGAAAAAAAATATATATATTTATTTATTTATTTTTATATATAATATAATAATAATGTACATGATCAATTTTTTTGTCGATTTCACATTGTTACCTCGCATTTTGCCATCATTTATCCGGCTTTTATCGGATATTTAATCAAAGGTCGGTCAATAAACTAGCATTTAAGTTAAATTTTTTTTTTTTTTAACAATATCCATTTAAAATGCTATATCCAATTTTACTTTTATGGTTCCTTTATGTACCAATATTGGATTTGGATGAACACAATGATACTATTTAAGTAATAGTTTTATGTCACCAAATTTGACCAATAAAATGATTTTATTACCTTTTTAATTACTTTTAATAGGATAAATGTTTGAATCAAGATATGATATCTGATTTCGTAAATAAATAAATGTATACAATAATTACATTGGTTACTAAAGCGGATAAATAATAATTATTAAAATGTTTCAGATAATTGTTTCAAGACGATGTCTTTGTTGTAACTTTTTGCAGATCTTTCGTTTCGAGAACCACTTTATTTTGTAGTACTACGGAACGTTGGTCGATTTAAATTATTATAATAGTGATGAACGTGATGTAATTTGATATTCGGCTAGACACCTGCTTAGGAGGTAATGCTTTTCCGGAAGAATTTGTCCCATGTAAAAACTTCCATCCGATGATTTTCCATTTAAAGCTGCCTATATATGACTATACGACCCGTTCCATTTCACATGAATTATAATTTCTGTTCTTATAATAGATTTCCTGCCAAGAAAAAGAAATTTTTTTTTTTTTTTAATTACAATTGTTTATTAAATGGAAATGGAAATATCTTTGTGTTAAAAAAAAGCCCGTACCATTTCTTCATTCCCTCTCCGGCTCATAATTCTTTCTCGATATCGTCTAACTTTTTTTAGTATTACCGATTTCGCATTATCAAAATTTTTTAAACTTTAAAAAATAATTTCTCAATAAGTAATAGACAATTTCCAAATTTGTATACTGCGTACCCAAACTTTATAATTTTTGGGATTTGAAAGATAGTGTAATATTTTTTTGGAATATCTTTTTTCTTGGCAAAAAAAAAAAATTGTTTCATTTTTTTAAGTCTTTCATATGTCTAAAAAGTATGTTTAGTACAAATAAATTATATAATTTCATTATTGAAACATCCACGAATTCTTGGCAAAATTTGTAACAAAAATTACGCACGTTTTTTTTATAATCTGCAAGCAACTTCTAGTTTCACTTTTTTTGCCAAGAAAAGATATGTATCACGTGATAAAATACGCCAAATTACATTGAATATCAAAAAGCGTTTTTTTTTTTTTTTTTTTTTTTTCTTTTTCGTAATTACATATTTTTTTTTATTACTCTAGGTGTAAAAAAGGATATTCATTTAAACAATGTAGAAAAATCTTTTTCTTTTTAAAAATACTTTGGTACTTGAACTGTTTCTTTTATTGTTTCGTGATTCTCCTTGATTTTGAAGAAGTTGATTATCAATCATGATTTAAGGAATAAAGGAAATAAACGGAAAATTAAAAAACAACAAATAATCAAGTGTAAAGGTACAAATTATTTGCTCCCCCTTTTTAAATTGCCCGTTTCAATCAATTAACTTGTTTCCAATTAGGAAAATCTTTCTAAATAAAAAAAACAAACCCGATTATCAAAATTTCTTACCCCTCCTTCTTCCCCTTATCATTTAACACTTGAAAATTTTTTTAATTTTTCATCCCTTAAAAATAATATAATTAATATGAATCTAAATTTATTGTTAAGTCGATTAAGGATGTGCATAATAGTGATATATTTCATCCAGTTAGTTGATCGATATTGAGATGAGAGACGATTAATTATGAATATCACTATAATGATCTTTTTTAAAAAAAAATCGAACATTCTTAATAGAAAAAAATCCACGATATATTAAATTGATTAACCGGGTTAAATGTACGTTTGAGTTACGGTACGTTTGAGTTACGGTACGTTTGAGTTACGGTACGTTTGAGTTACGGTACGTTTGGGTTACGGTACGTTCGAGTTACGGTACGTTTGGGTTACAATACGTTTGGGTTACGATACGTTTCGCCGAAGTTTATTTCGCCGAAACTCATTCATTTCACTGACGTCACATTTTCCGAAACCGCCTTTGATTCATTTTACAGTATTATAGCAAATTTTGAAATATAGTGGACACTTGATTGTCGGGATTGTCGGGTACTCCGTACTCGGATTACTCGGCTAGTCGCGTTATTAGAAAAGAAAATAACACGGAGTATATTTTAATTAAATTTTAATATAACATAATTTACATTATACAATTACTATATATATACAGTATGTGTTCACGTATATCTTTTCTAATAGCCCAGTAACCTGAGTATCCGACAATCCCAACAATCAAGTGTCCACTATATTTCGAATTAAGGAAAGCAAGAAACATTTTTAATGATATAAATTTTTTTGTTTCTAAATTCTAACCGTACTACTTCTATATAAGATTACATTTTCCCCATAAAAATGAAATATTAAATTCGTATGTGTAAAAAGCGGCTAAAAAAAGCACAATTTTGTCCAATTTATGTCTTATTACAAAACTAAAATTAAACAAAATGGTGCTTTTTTAGACATTTATTATATATGAGCATAAATATTAAATATAAAATAAATTTAACACATTTCTTCGGCACTTTGAAATTAATACGCAGTAAGGAGTGAAATGATGTCGGTAAAATGAAAGTCAGCAAAATGGCGTCGGTTAATTTCATGTCGGTGAAATGGCCGTCTGTAATTAATTTTCCAGATAAAGGGCATTATTCAAAATATCTCAATCACAATATCGTTATCATATTTTTTATTATTGGGTTAGCAGTTTGGATGATATTTTAACCACCATATCCAATAACTGGGTTATACGTGTTATACGTCCAAGATCATATTCCAATTGTTCCATATACAGTACAGAAAATAAGTATTAGTTATTTACTGATCTAGTAGTATATCATCCTTCGGATGATGACCCATTTATATACTAAACTAGATCATAGTATTATCATCCTAGATATACTAATTGGTCCGCCAGGCAGAAAAAATCCCAAATATCAATTAGTAGAGGATTAATATATGTGATATTTAACCCAAATATCAGCATATTAAAACCTATAATAACTAATTCCTAAAACGCAAAGATTATAAGGCTTTAAAAGGATATAATATAAAATCATTCTAATTCTCATTTAAGTAATAACCCCCTAAAATCTCAACTTAACTCCTTTGTACGAGCTGTACACAAGAAATTAAATGGTTAAAGTCATAATAAAAATTATTATGTGATTTCTTTATAAAATAGGGAGTAAAAATGTTGAACTAACTTAAATTAGGAAAATTAACAAATATATTACAATATATGTATTTGACCAGCATTATGAAAAATTTAAAAGGTATTATCTACAAATTTATTTTAAATGTGGGTCCCATTCACATATGATATCATATACGTTCACTTTTGGTGAGAATTTTAAAAAAAGTAGAAATCAAACGAATTCAACGAAAAGAAGGGATCGATCCATGGAATATTAGATTATCTCTAGGATCTTAGATGATTGTTGTAATATAAACTTTTCCTTTTTTATAAATATTAAAAAAGAGAGATGATTTTTCCAGAAAAAACAAATTCACACGAATTGTTATAAAAACTGGTTTTATTCCGGATTCAGATAAAGAAAATTCAAGGGTATAAAGATCTAAATGTCACGAGTCCAAAGAAACCTTAACCATATTTGTGCACCCCACGCTCACCACATGATCGACTAATTGATCGATAACATCATAGTTAACAATATACAAATTATAAAAAAAATGTAAACAAAAAAATATTTAACATCTAAAAATCACATATTAAAAAAAAGCCACCTTAATTGTGAAAATTCACATTTCACAGCATTGTAATACCATTATTTTTAAACACGCGAATGTGAGTCACCGTAATTCTCTTAGTTTTATTTCCGTAATGAGAAAACTTTAAAATATTACAAGTTTAAATCCGGAATAATTTTTTTTTTCTTTTTTCTCTCAGGTTTAAATAAAGTAAATCACGCGTTAATCAAACGGGGTAAATTTGCGTAACATTTTGGGGGATGTTTGAATGCGTTGATCTACACGTCATATATGTCATTTAAATTATATTTTTTTTCATTTTTGAATGTCAAAAATGTGAAATTTGAAAAATAACCCAAACTGTTATTACGAGTTAATATTGAAAATAAGAACGACTTTTGGTAAGAGAAAAAGCAAAGAAATCGTACGGTTTTCTTATCAGTCATGTACAGTATTTTTTAAATGTTATTTACACGATGTTTATCGGTTATTAATTATTTTTATAAAGATCTTTCCTATTTTAGAATTCACAAGGTTCATGAAAATCGCAAATCATGGTAGATCCAATCGTAACTTTTTAAGCTGTCGTGTAAAATAATAAAATTTATTTTCGAAACGATAAAAAATTTAATTTTTTCCTTCCCTGTTTTCTTCTTTGTACTTAATAAATATAATATACATATCTATTTATCTTTTGTGATCATTAAAAAATGCAAGTTGTAATTTAATATAAAAGATTTTGTTGGTTAGTTTAAAAAAATCGGGCATTATTAGAAAGTTTTCCGGAAAATCTGTTCATCAATTAACCTTAATAAGTAAAACTTCCGTTATTTAAAAAAGTGTAATGGATTTGTTTATCGTAACATTAAAATCCTGTAATCTAGTATAAAAACTTTGAAATTTTTTAGAAAGGTATTTTTTCAAAAAAAAATTAGAAATTAAATTTTTGTATTCATATCATATTTAATTAATAACAAACATAGAAATTTTTTAAAATATTTTATTTATTTTTCTTAAAATAAAAATCAAAAAAATGAGCACTTCAACTTCTAATATACGAGATAAAATTATTGAATCTATTAAACATTTTTCAGAAATAAAACAACTTGAAATTGAGGATAAAGTTATTCAAAATGAACTTGAAAAAATTTCTGAACAAGAAGAAAAATTTCGTGATTTTGCCAAAGATTATGATCAAAGATTAAGCAATCATGCTGATGATTTGATCACATTCGCTGAATGTTGTGAAGAAGATAATATTAGTAGTGATGAATTATTGGTATCTTTAAAAAAATTAAGTGATGCTAAACTTAATAAGAGTAAATCTGAATTAATATTTCAACTTGAAAATGTTAAAAATTGTTTAAATGGAATCATTAATGAAATTACTAATTATGATGATAAAATTACTAAAGAACAAACAGATTTGAATAATGAAATTAATAAATTAGATAAAAATACAAATGAAGCTATATTATTCGCAAAAGGTAGTGTATTCTTAGTTGGTGTGGCTGCAATTGCTGCTGTACCTTTCACTGCTGGAGCTTCTTTAGCTATTCTTCCTGTAAAACTTATCGTTACAATAAGCTCAAGTTTGATCGTTCATGGGTAAGAATTTTTTAAAATTTTATATCCTTTATCAAAATTATATTATTGAAATTTTTTTAAAATTCTTTTATAGTGCCGCCACTGCTGTAGTTTCTACTATTGCTGCAGGTACTACTACAATTCAAAGTAAAATTTTAAATTCTAAATTAAAGGGTATTAGAGAACAAATATCACGATTATTACAAGAAATACAAAAAAGTATCCAAGATATAAATACAATTATATCACATTGTGATTCCCATTTTGAAGAACAAATCGCTGAAATTGAAGAAGTTGAAAAAATTGTTGACATTTTTAAAAAATTGGATGATAGAAATGGTAGACAATTAATCAAACCTATCGCTAGAACTATTTCAACTAGAGCTCGAAAAAATTCTGAAAGTTATAGCGTTGACATGCGACAAGTTTTGAAGAGAGATTCGGTATGGATTTATCAAGTTATCTTTTTTCTTTCAAAAATTAAAAATTCATTTATTTTTTTTTTTTCCTAGGGATTCTACGATTGCTACGTTTGCGAAGAATTCGAAGATTAATTTTTTTTTTTTTTGACTGTGATCGGGTTATTAATTGGGTTAATTGGATTGGATAAAATTTGGTTTTTTTTTATTGTTTTTTTATTGTACTTCAAATTATTGTAAAATTTTATTAATCGGACAATTGTAATTTAATGTAATTGGTTGGTTAAAGAATAAAATAATTTATTCTTGTGATTTTATATATTCTATTTCACGTGTGATACATTCCACCCAATAAGATTTGATTTACTCTATCCATGTGATCGATGTGATCTAGGCAGAATATGGAAGTGGGTGTTGAATGATTGGCTGTCATTGTGCCACGCATATCATATCGTTTAGTTAAATATGAAAATAGGAAGGAGTTCCATAATTTTCATAATTTTGATATAAAATTATCAGATCGATTTGTGATTGGTCCTAATTTACCACGTTGTTGTCGTTTTGGCAAAAATTAGATAACCAATCATATATTACTCTACTCTAAAATAATAACGATAATGATATTTAGTATTATACGAAGGAATAGTTTAATTGGAAGAAAATATTTGAATGTTTATTCTGCTGCTTTAGCAATTTTTGTCATATTATCTTTTGGGTATAAAATTATTTAATGCTTAAGGTAAAGAAAAGAAAGAATAAGAAAATTATTTAATGCTAAAGAAAGAAAAACGATAATGAGATTCAAACCAATACAAATATAGAATTTTCATTGGTAAAATGCTAATATCACGTAACCAAATTACTATATCTCTTACTATATTTGAGAAAAGCACGTATCATTGTTTTAAAATAAATTTCGGTCGGCTCTAAAAAATTTATGAAAAATAAGTCGATTTACTATAATAAATTTATGCAATGTATAGTCTATTCTCATAAATATAATTTAGTATATTCATCATAAGTGTATTGATACATTTCTTCACATAATTGAAATCTACTGCTTGGCTATACTTAGAAATATATGGTTTAATTTTATTAGAAATATGTTCAGTTAACCAAAAAATAATACATTTTAATAGTATGAATGGCTGTGTCTGCATTTTCGCATGTACTCAAAGCTAGAGGATATGTGTCATTACGGATATCGTAAAAATAATCGCATGATAGAATTTTATTAATGACTTAGACGGCAAGGATATTCGCGTAAACATCTAATAATAATATAGAATTGTTTTAAATAAATATATATGTGTGTATATATGTGAATATATACATAATATACTTACGACCAACAAAATTCATATCTACAGTTATCACAGGTCATATGGTCACATCCTTTATTTTTTTCAATAGATAAAGAGCATTTGGGGCATTTCTTCGTATTTTGTGATAAATATTCATCGGGTTTTTTCATATTTTCATCGTATTCTTCACAAGTTTGATCCTCATGCCAGGTAACATCATGAGTATAACATGACTTTACACCACAATTATAACAGATTATAATCGGTGAAATATCTATACGGAAGAAAGATCTTATAAATAACTCAAAATTATGAGTCTCATTAATATAGATTATACCTTTTCCCGTATGTATTTGTCCAACTCCACAACGAGCTTTGCACCATCTGAAATCAGGGTCCCGTTGGATCACAATATTGTAAGTAAGCTCATCATATCTGAATCAAAAAAAGAAATTAATGCGTTAAGTAATATACCCATCTTGATATAAGAAAAGTTATAAAAATAAACAGTTGATGTACTCTTTAAAAATATCATTCGTTGTGAAATTTTTAACATCATGTCTTTTCATTATTTCATTACAGTCATTCATAGGACATTTAAATTCAAGGATATTTTTACTATCGATTTGACCTTTAATGTATTCGTTAACACATTCCGCACAAATAACGGCATGATGTGTACATTTTTTAGTTATTTTACGGAAATCCCTATTTTCCGATTCACAACAAAAGATACATTCGAAATAAGACATTTTAATAAAAAATTTGTTTAATATAAAGCAAGAAATGTTTTCTTGTTAAAAAATAAGTTAATAATTTATGGAAACATATTGGCGTATTTTTGTAATTGGACCTAAATTAAGGCCCCAAATTATTATTAAATGTATGTATAAACTGTTGCACAATTTTCATAAGTCGAACACATGACGTATATATCGAAAATACCCTAAAAAAAAAAAAAATTTAATAATAATTGTCGCGTCAAACCCATCTCCTCCCATCTCTCTTCAAGGGTAAATTATATAGAATATACCTGATTAATATTTTTCAAAATTATAATTTTTTATTTTATATTTAAGGTATTGACCGTTATTTGGGGTCATGTCACAAAAATTGGGGTAGTATTAAAACGTAAAATCCATAATTCCCGATTTACAACTGATTTTGGATTAATGATGCCAATCATTATTGTACTAATCCTGAAATAATTCTGATTTATATCTGATTTAGAACACTAATTTATAGCGATTTATAGCTAAAAATAATCTAATTTACACTATTTCGATTAATGATGAAGACAAAATTTCCAAAATAATACGTAGTGGCGTTTGGTTCGTGTAAGATAAGAATGATAAGAATTTTTTCGTTTTCGGGATTTCCACGGAGTACGATTCGGATATTTTTTTATTTAGGATAAAAAGGATAAAAGGTATCTTGGTCTTGATAAAATATTAAAAGTATTCCTTTAATAAAGTTCTTGAACATAAAAAAAAAAATGTCCATAAAATTCTTTGTTACTCTTTCATACAACGGAGTTGAATTGCCACTTGAAATTTGTTCTCGTGATACCATTTATGAAGTGAAACAAAAAATTGAAAGATTAGAAAATATTACAGAATCCATTAGACCGGAGAAACAAGAATTACGTCTCGGTGCCGAAAAACTTAAAGATGAGCTTAATGTATCAGATTGTGAAATTCATCCAGGCGACAATATAAGACTTGTTCAAAAAGTTGCGGGTGTTATACAGGTGTTCATTAAAAATACTGTCACGCTTGAGGATAAGATGGTAAAGTCAATCGCTATTCTCATCGATCCAAGCTGTACGGTACTCGAGTTGAAGCAAAAATATTATGACAAGACAAGGTCTTTTCCGGTAGAAAAACAGAGACTTTTATGGAGCCGTCATCAGTTGGAAGATGAAAGGAGTCTTTCTTCATATAAAATTCCAAACGATTCAAATATTAATCTTGTTGCAAGATTGCCCGGAGGTCTTTAACAAATGGAATATAGGAGTATTTATTAATAAAATTATTTTTCATTAGGAGAACGGATTAGTGTTCTTATTGAAATTTCAGATTATTCTAGAGCAAAGTTGAATTAATAAAGAAAACATACATTATAACAAATTCTTCAAATGATTTTAAGAAATAAACGGATACCATTTATTATACTATATAATAAAGTTGTGCCAACAAGTTATGAGTTCAATAGTTCAATACAGGCATGAAATATCACAAGCCCTATATGGTCAAATTTTAATTAAATATTTTATTTTTCATATAGGAAGTCAATAATATTAAAAAAGGTTATAACTTTTCTGAAAGCTAATCCCTAAATTTATCATTAACAAACATCTTGGCAATTGTTTCGGATGAATTTTTATAATGGTCTAATGAACCTTTAGTACTTTCCCATAATTACAAAAGATCCTGATCTGTTTTTTTTATTTGATCCTTGGTAATAACAATTTTCGTATAATTAATTGAACGTGATCCTAAAGCGAGTTCAGTTTGTAAAGTGATAGTCCTTTACGAAAAAAGAAAATAAATGATATCATTAGGATATATATACCAACCTGCAAAGAGTATCTGGCAGTGATTTTAACAAGAAAGATGAATATCAATGCAAGATATGAGAATACCACCATCTGACGAATCTAACAAATTGTGTTTGATATCAATATTCCGATGTATATAATTGATGAAAGTATAAAATAGTACTCCCAACAAGAACAATTTTAACGTTTATGACATTTGTCATCTATTGGATGAAACTCAGTTTGTTGGATTTGTCAGAAAGAAAGGCATCAAACGGTGGTATTCTTATGTCTCTGGCATTGAGGAATGGAAAGTTAATAACGCTTTTACGATTTAGGAACTTTTGAGTTAATGCGGTTTAACGTTCTTGAAAAATTCTGCCGAGTACTACGTATATGTATTAATATGTAAGAACTTAGCATTCATTAAAACATCTTTGGTAATAATATTTTCATTTTATTTTCTGTGTTCTTTCAAAGTAATACATGTAACGACCGAATTTTTATAATATAATATCTTGAAATGAAGAGAGAAATACTTTAAAAGAGACTTTATAATTTAATATCTCTTTATTAACAGTTAAACTCTTTAATACTGTAAGTGAGAAACAAGATACATTTGGATATATATTATAACCCTCTTCAAAGGCAACAATTGGTTGTTAGAGTCAAAAATTCAGATAAGTTTTCTATTCTTCTCTTGTCGTTTAGTCCAGGGAATTCCTCTGTCACTAGAATATTAACGATGGACTTGCCAACTACCTGCACTCCTTGAGGTTCCAATTTCCAGGATACCAGCGTACTCGCACTCCGCCCCAGTCATTTGTCCATTTTCTCATTCAACTTTTGAAGAGTCAACCATCCTTGTACTGATCGAAATGATCGATTGAATACTAAATAAGGCATTAATGCGTAGGACCGGATTTATGAAAATTCTGAAAATCTGGATACGAAATCAAATAACCAAATTAAATTTAAATTAGAATCCGGCTAGAGTTAGATCATGAAGTTAATTCAATCTGAGAGTTCAATTTCATTACCCGATCCTCTCTTGGCACAAAGTTTCACTACAAATTTATAAATAATGTTTTTGTAACAGACTAACAGATGTTCTTTATTTTGATGAATACAAATTATTTAATTCTGTTTCTACGCGACGAATAAAATCTAATAAAAAAAAAACTATATTCTATATTCTACATATATTGATATTACAAACTCTATTTTACAAAAAAAAAAAAAAAAAAAAAAAAAAACCTAAAACTAAGATTTTACAACTTTAAATACTTCATAATCAGCCATAACAAAATTTAACTCAGTTGATATAATACGTTTATTATAACCAAAATGTTCACAATGACATCTAGATCCACAAATAGTTAAATCATCTCTAAAATTAGGTCCATTATCAAATTTACTCGCTACAGAATTTTCAATATAAGGTTTACTCGGAATATATTTTTCATCTTGATTATCAATCTTGAATATAAAACTATCCCTCGTTATACCCTCAACCCAATCAGGAGGAGATTGCCAATCTAAAGGATTATAACCACCAATTAATTCATTTGTTCCTTCAACACGTATAATAGTAAGAGTTGGACCTTTCATATCACATAATTTATGAAATGTTGAATTATCAAAACCATCCCTACTTGCTCTATATAATAAATGAAAATTGTAAGGAAATGTTGAAAAAGAATAATAATCATTTGATTTATTATCAATCCAACATGAAATTAATATACACTCTTTTATATTAATTAATAAAGAATCAATTCCTCTACGTTTAGGTTGTTCTACTGAAAAATTGAATGATAATCTAATCATATCCCTTATACTAGTAAAAAATATTTTTTTAATTATATCATAAATATATTCTTCAACACTTGCTCTATAAGGTAAAACTTTATCGGTGAAATCACTTGTTGTCATATGAGAAAATCTTATGTGATTAATAAATGGTTGTAAACTTTCCTTTAATCTAATAAAATCCATAGTATTCCATTCTTCGATGTTCGAATTATTAAGTTCTACTTTAAATTTACACCATTCTAATAAACAATCCCATAATTGGACTTCTTTAATCATAATATCATCCCTTTGTAATAATAATTCAAGAATCTCTCGATCTAAATTATAAAATTCTTTGCTAAAAAATATTATATGAGGTAAATATTTTATTGTGAAATCAACATAATCTTTAATCACATTAAAAGTTGGATATCGTATTGAAATATTTATGACAAGGACTATATAATCTTGTAAAGAATCTTTAATTGGTTCAAGGAATATATCTTGTAAGTAATCCAATATTTCTTCAAAATATAATTCATCTGAAGCGATCAATAAATCCAATATTTCTTCAGGATCTTCAGTATCGATTTCAACAATCCCTCCGTAAATATACCTACAAGGATAAGGGTTAAAGTTATTTTATTTTTTAAAAAATATTTTTTTTTTTTGTTCGACTTCATATTAATCACTTACTTGAGAATAATTTCGAATATTTTGGGAGAAATGTTTGGTTTATGAAAAATCATTTTATTATCTTGCTTTTTAACCCATTCTTTTGATAATGCAGCACGAAAATATTTTGATCTTGTAAATAATACAAAAGAATGTGCTTCGAATTCTTTATAATTATTTCCCTCACCTATCTTAATTATTACATCAAAATCATTATTATTATTTAAAGCACTTAAATAATGTTGTGATAAATACGGTAAAAATTGTTGTGTTATCATCTTTTTATAGGAAGAAAATTGCTGTAGAAATAATATCGTCGAGTTGATGTTGTTCGTTTTCTTTTTTAAAAAAAAAGACGAGAAAAAAATATTTTTTTTAAAAAAAAAAATATATTCGATTTATATACGTAAAAAAAAAAATTTTTTTTTTTTTTATGTACCTTAATGCACGAGCACTTTTATGTACATTGTTAATGCCTCGGCGTGAGAAATGTTCTATTTTATTTTAGAAACAATCTTCTTTTGAAATAAATTTACATTGTTATAGAAAGGAACCACGTGGAAGAAAACATATTCATTCACATTAATATTATTCTTTTTTTCGGAGTGTCAATGTGTCATTTAACGACTGTCACGTGAATTGATAGACTATTATTAAGGCATTAAAGCAATTTATACGCAAATCGGAACACGTGAATAAAAACCAACCTTTGGGTACAAATTAACGACGTAAAAAAACTTATTAGCATTAACCAAAAAAAAATATATTGTATGTACTGTATATATTATTAAAATATACTTTTGAATTCATAACATCATTTTATTCCATTGATGCGCAAAAAACTTGATAAACAAAAAAAAACAAAAGATGCATACTCATTAGTCCCTAATTCCATTAATTCAAACAATTATACTATTTCTTCTTTCTTTTACCAGAACTTTTCATATCATTACTTGTTAAGACAGGTAAATTTTCATCACTCTCCATAAATTCTAAATCATATTCTTCGTCACCAAATTTTTTAATAAATTTACTTAATTGACCACTATCATCATCTAATGCTTGTGATAATTGAGATGGATTCCATAATGGATGATTTCTAGTATCTTTTATTAACTTGATTCTTGGCTTTGGTGATGTTGTACGTAATGTATAAGTCGCTCCATTAGTTAACACTATTTGTTGAGTAAATAATCTAGGACGTATGAAAGATTTGGTTGTGGCGTAGGATCTTTTATATAGAGTTGAGGGATAATTAGGGGGGATATATAATTTTGTTATAATACTTAATTTCGTTATATTCATATCTATTTAAATTAGAAGGTAAACAATTATTCTAATTGTTCTCTATATTATAAAATAAAATAAAATAAAACAAATAAATAAAAATATTTTTTACCTGAAACTTTAAAAAATATTAGATCACAACAAATACAAATTAAAGTCTAATATATCAAACTCATTCATTTAACAATTTAAGTTAAATCTTCGTCAACAGCTTACATATGAGACTTATCTGAAACAAAATAATAAAATATGTATTAACAAGGAAAATTTAATAAGTATAAAAAAACAAAAACAAATAAAACAAAACAAATTAATTAAAACTTGGTAAATTACCTACTAATAAATATAAGATATGTTCATTAGTACTTGACACATTAAACAAATTCCTTTTAAAACGAAAAAAAAAAAAAAAATCTTTTTACTTCAGGTTTGTGGTCGTACAGCATCGTACAATAGCAACACGAAAAAAATCAATATTGTTACTGGATGGATTTACATCACGTGATTACTTATATTTTGGCCCCCAAATTACTAACAAAAATCATTATTCAAATATTTGTATATTACCCTGTAATCGACCATCAAATAATAATAATATCCGACTTGACTCACACACAATTAATCGGATTACCGCTTAAAGTTTACCACGATTATCGATTAGAACTAATATATTTCTAACAAAATTTATCTTCATCTCTCCCAAGATAAAAGACAATAATATTAATATTATTCATATTATTCTTTAGAGTAAATCGTAAATAATAAGTAAACTATTGGTTTCATTTGTAGATATCTCTATATAAAGATGATTCCCACTCGCTATTTAATACCTACCAAAGATTGACGTATAATTACGTAATTAATTAATTTTAATGGATTGGCCAAAATCCACATGGATCATAACAACTGTGAATTTCACAATATATTTACTACAGTTCTGCTCGGTTCAAAAATCCCAAGTTTGGTAAATATAATACAAAAAAAAGCGTTCGTGTTACAATAGAGAATGTATAATTAATTATTAATTCATACGTGATACAAGGGTTCATTAATCCTAACCAATTAAGATGGTGGAATAGGGGCTCTTACTTGTTTGATAATCATTACATAATAAGAACGAACATTCGTAACGAACGTAAATAAAAAGTAATTTTAGTATAGTATAGAAAAAAAAAAACGAAAATTCTTTTTTATTTTCTCTCAACCAAAAAAATTCATTTAAATTGATAATCATAAATTCATTCTTAAAATTCGGGTGGATATTTAAAGGAATCATGTGTTTATATATATTAATAATAAACTATCGAATTATATTGACTATATTGACTAATAATTAATATATTATTATTAATCGGTAAATAATATAATAAAAATAATATTATATATATATTTTACGAATCGAGGAATTTCCGAGAAATTTCCGTAAAAAAAAATTATTATTATTATTATTTTTTTTTAAAAAAAAAAAAAAGTCGCAGGACATGAAAGATGTTTACGTACTAAATTTAGATTTTACTAATTTTACTCATTTTAGAAGGGCTGAAAATTCATCGTAAAGAAAACAAAACTGCATTGTAATGATAAAACGGTGATAAAAAACCCCTTTTATAGATTAGATCGCGTGATATTCGTTCAGAATTTTCAGAATTGCAACTCAAACAAAATAATAAAATACGGAATAATTCCGTTAAAAAAAAAGTTCTTTAACAAGAATGAAAGTTCTTTTAAATTATGATTTTTTTCGCACCACTAAAAAGTTAATTGTCTCTTTATCATAATCGAAATTAAAATTTTTATTTGTTTTGGGAATAAAAAAAGAATATAGTACTTAAATGTTTTTCTAATTATGGATATTTTACATAAATTTTTGTTTATATTGGTTAATAATTTGTGTAACAATATTTTTTAAGAGAAATTTTAATCCGTAAATGTAAAAGATCTTTAATGCATCAAAAAGACAAAGAAAGAAATAATAAATGAAAAAAAGTTCAGACAGTTTACGAACTTGTTTGTTATGTTTGATTCTAAATATACTTTAATAATTGTATATTTGTTATACACTTTCAATATCGAACACAAAAAAGAAAGCTAATAGAAAGTTTTTCTAAATGTTGCACACGTATGTCGATAATCCTAACTTTTTATGGTTTTGATCACCAATAAAATTGCAAAAAAAAAAATATATGAAAAGAGGGAACAGTAGGTTTATTAGGTTTATTAAGTTTCGGATATCGATTGATCAGGATAAAAAAGAAGCAAATCCTATCAAATCTTATTACATCCTATCGAAACTTAACCCGTATATCAACCAATCGAATCATTTGTTCTTAAAATGGCAAAGGTAATACTAAAGAAAGGGTCTAACATTTAGAAAAGTATAATTTTATAAATAAATGTTAATCAAATAAATAGCGCGTGAACTTTTTGATTTTCTCATTGCATTTATAAAAAATGATAAAATGATAAAATTATTATTGTGAAATTTAATTGATAATTTTATCATCATAATTTTAATGAAAATTCCCGAAATTAATATAAGTTATACAGTATAATTAATTATTACCCATAAAAATATCCGGTTTCGCGGACTTATGCGGTTAGATATGCAGATCATCCGAAAGTTTCTTTTAAAGTTCCGAATGTGCAGAATTGTACATCATTTCCAAAACGAATATATTTTATCACTAATCAATAATTAAAGGAGTGGTATTCTAATAAATTCCTGATATGCGCGGTAAAATATAAACAAAGTTTATCCTTTGATCGAAATAATAAATTTGAAATCTGAAACTGTAAATACATACTGTTTATTCATAATTATATATATATAATAAATACTATACATATGTATCGTGTTTCTTGCCGGTTAAAGGAAGTTATTTTTGAGTATAAATTAAGTTTAAAACCCCTTGTAGCTTTTTTCAAAATCTTACATAATTGGAAATTTAAGATTTTTTCTTTTGCTCATTTTAAAATTCTTGAAAAAATACAAGTCTTTCGTTGATATTCATTTTCATTTAGCGTTTCATTTTTCTTATCCTTTTTTTTTTTTAAAAAAAAAAAAAAAAAAAGGCGCAGGAAACGCCCCCTTCCTTTTCTTATTAACGAAAGATTTTAAACAAAAATTACAAAAATTACAAAAATTACACTTTTTTATACTTTTTATTTTGAACGAGTTGAACTCATTATAGATTTAATATGGAAAAAGCAGGATTAATTACTCTTATCGTAATAAGTATAATATTATCATTTTTAAGTATTGTACATATAATTCGAAGAGCGATATCTGCACCAACAATATTTATTCATATAAATTGTCTTTTTGGAGCTTTGATCATTCTATCATTAAGTATTTTAGATATATTAAGAGTAGAAAAAGTTGTGGAATTTACAAAGGACTTTTCAAGTATATATTTTCTTTCTACATCAATAACATTAATCTTATCTTGTTATATTTTATTACAAGTTGGAATTAATTTTTATCAAGATTATTCATTTATAAAAAATATATTAATGTTTGCACCTATAGTAGTTACAATGGGAGTATTCAGTTTATCGGTTTTAACAGCAATTAGAATATTATTAAGCGAAGATTTTAAATTATCACAATCTGAAATTAATTTAAAAAATATTACTTTTATATTAAGTTCAATATCAGGATTATTAAGTTTTATTTATGGAATTATTCCTTTATTTTCAATTAGATATCAAACAAGATTAAGACCTCAACAAACTGCTATTTCTATAGTACATTTCTTTATCGTTGCAACATTTTTTATAGCTCATTTTATAGTTTACGCTATAGTAACTTTTAAAGGTCCAATATTAGATATGAATTATAATTCTATACAAAATATGATCTTAATTTTAATATTTCCTGGTTGTTTATTCGCTCCTCCGAGAAGTATGGTTAAATTTATTAAAAGAAGATTTTTAGGTGTAGAAGAATTAGATATTGGTGGTGATTATCGTCCTAATATGTTACCTGATAATTATACAAGTAGAAACATCATTTTTAATATGGAAAATTATGCGAATAGAAACATCATTAATAATAATAATATTAATAATATTAATAATGTTGATGATGATGATAATGATATTACATTAAATCGTAAAGTTTACAGATTATCAAAATCTTTACCTCCTTTACCACCACAAATTTCATCATCCCCAGTAACAATTTCCTCTCCTACTCCTCCTCCAAGATCAACTCCAAATTCTGCCTCTCCAAGAAGAAATGAATCTCCAAATCCTTATTCTCGTATTCAGATTCATGGTCGTTCTCAATCTCATACTCTTTTTCGTTCTCCATATCAATTTCAAACTCATAAAAGAAGTAATACTACAAATACAGTGAATAGTTTGAATTCTATCGATTCCGATACTAGTTTTTATTTAGCTAAATTTTTCAACTATCCAACGAATGGTAGTTCTTCTAAAAACAACAACAACAACAATAACGACAATAATAATATTAATATAAATATAAATAATTTAACTAGTAGACGATAGTTATAATTATTATTATAACTGTATAATAATAATAATTATAATGACTATTTAATAATTAAATTTATCGAATTTACCGTTGTAAATATTTTTTTTTTTTTTTTTAAAAAAAAAAAAAAAAAAAAAAAAAAGGAAAAAAATAGAAAAAAAATTTTTTTTTTTTAACTTGCGCTAAAATTTTACCTTTCCTCCGATTAGTTTAAAATTTCACGTGCTTTTAGATTATAGCACATTTTAATTATAATAGAGATTTCCTCGGTAATTGTTCCTAAAAACGCAATAAAGAATATATATTTGGAATCACTTCTATTGTTCGCTTTATTATCCCTCGCATAAAAAGTTTCTTAAAATGGTTAAAAAGAACAATGGTATTGGTAACTATAAATTGTAACCTAATTTTTTTTTATATAAACAAAAAAAAAAAAATTTTTTTTTTTTTTTTTTTTTACCCAGAATTCCGAGAATTCCAAAACATTTCAACTTTTTCTTCTCCTTCTTACAAAAATGACATCCGAAAAACAAGCCTTATTAAAGAAAAATTTATCAATAATCTCAAAAAAATCATTTTTTTTTGATTTATCAAAACATTATTTAGAATTATTGGAAAATAGTAATAATTTTGATGTATTAATAAAAATTGGTCATGAAGATAATTATAAAGAATTTTACGCACATTCTTTTATATTAAATCAAAGATCAAATTATTTTAAAAAATTATTATCATCAACAAATTTTATTAAAAAAAAACAAATTATTATTGAAAAGAAAAATATTTCACCTAAAGTTTTTAATATAATTTTAAGATATATTTATGGTGGAATTCTTGATAATATAGATTCTCAAGAACCTAAATTTATTTTGGATGTATTGATCGCTGCTGATGAATTAAATTTCTTTGAAATAATAGATTATTTACAAGATATATTTCTTAAACAAACTCAAAATTCAATACAAAGATATTTTACTCATTTTTATGATGTTACTTCTCAATATTCAAATTTTACTAAATTAAGAAAATATGTTAAAAATATTGTAACTGAATTACCTCATATAATATTTAGAGCTGATGATTTTATTGGTTTAGATAAAGAAACTTTATTATATTTAGTAAAAAGGGTTGATATTGTTATAGATGAGATTGAAATTTGGGATTGTATTTTAAAATGGTGTATGGCAAAATCTAATTTAAAGAATAAGGATATAAAAGATTGGAATATTGATGATTTTTATTGTTTGGGAAAATCTTTGGAACCTTTTTTACCTCATATTAAATTTGAATATATTACAAAACAAGATTATTCTATCAAGATTAAACCATTTAAACAAAGTTTTGATCAAAATGTTTATAAAAAGATCAAAGAAGCTATAAATTTAAATGAATATATAGATAATAATATTTAATACTATGTTTATGTATTTTGTTATAGAATTTTAGATTTTAATATATATATATATATATATATTATTATTATTATTATTATTATTATTATTATTATTATTATATTATTTTTAATAAATTTGTATTATCAGTAATCCCGGGTTTATAATACATGGGTTCACCGTACACGTGAAGTTATTCATCATTCAATGCGTGTAGAAACAAGTTAGGAGTAGAAAGGTTTTAATATATATGGTGAACAAGTAAAGGAAATCCCATAAAAAAAACAAAAAGTTTTGTGTGAAAGCGTGAAATCAATTCTGGATTAACAATTTTCAACCAATCAATTTTGCTGCGCTGCGGATATATACTCGGAATTAAACCGTGTCTTATTTCTCTTTATGGAAATTTTTTTGTAGCTTACATGAGTTGAAGTATTATTTAAATCCCCTATTTCAACTTTCTCACGGCTTTTAGCAAACATTCGCCCTTAAGGCTTTTTAAGATGACACCGCAAATATTGTAAAATATTATCGTTCAGACTCATCTTGAGGAGGTGGAAGAATCTGATTCGTTTGACATAATTAAAAAAAGAAAATCACGTGAGATTTTGGAAAGTATGTTTATTAATTAGGCTTAATCCAACAGTATTGAACTGTTTAGTACTCAGTTAAGAACTTAGTCCAACAGTAATGAACTGTTCGTTCGACGCCTAGCGCAATTGGGACTGCTCGTCTGAAGGATAGTTCTGTGAGATTACGAATATTTTTTCAAGTTATTTCGGTTAACAATTAACCAATAGCAAAGTTGTCGTCATCACATACAAGAGCAGATACAGGTATGAGAATTGTTTATACGATGTTTCCAATTCAATTCAATTTAATTTACAACCATTAATAATCTATTGCATAGATTGATACTGAAACTAGAATAAAGAAGAGCAAAGTAAATGAACTTTTCGATAGCATGAAACGTCGCAACATATATCTTTTATGTGGACCGTTTAAGACATTGTCGGAAATAGACGCGGAGGACCGGTTTTCCACAATTATTCGCCGTTAATATAGATATTCCCATAGACATTAAGAAATATCTTCAAAATTTGCTTAGAGAAAATATTGAAATATGTGTTGTCGAAAATAGAAAAACCGCTTAGCAGATACGCGCAGCCATTATTGCTATGAACAAGGGAAGTTTCTTTATTATTACGGCGGTTTAGAGTTAGATGGGGACGAAAAAACATGACTGTATATCGAATCTTTGATTTATTCTCGATGTTTATCAGAGAATTGACGTCAGGAATCTCCTGTGAGCATTGTAATTTTTGTTCCTTTCATTTTCTTTGATATAATATAAATAATGATCAAAAGCCGTCTAGTTCAAACAGAGGAGATAAGAATGATGCTGTTGTATATCAAGACGAAGATGCTATGATTATATACGAACAGTCCTTTGGGGCCAATGGAATTCGACACAATGCACTATTTCTAAACTTGGACGAAATGAAGTGGATGATATAAACCATTATTTCATTTAATATCCTAATCCTTCAATTACAACAGCCAAGAAATTAAGATCAACCGGAATGCATGGATATTATAAATTGATTATTTTATTGACATTTAATTTCAATTTATCTTACAATCCTTATCAGTTGTAGAATCTATAGGTTATACGAGATATTTAGCTGTAAGATTCCAACAACGTTTACGGACAGATGGTTACTGGTTAAGATTGTTAATATTGGCGTCTATTTGAAGGTATTTCTTTTGCTAGACATATAAATGCATCTCATTTACTATTACTTGTTGTAGGTTTTATTTACTATTTATTATAGGCGTTGCTCATGGAACGATAATCTATAAAGGAAAAATTGGGCGAAGAAGCACAATCAATGAAAGTGACTCTGATTGTGTGCGTAACTGGATGTCAATTCCGGATAATACCTCAGAAAAAAAACCGTAATAAGGTGTAATACTGTAATAACTGTAATATGAATGCATGTCACGTTCCAAATTTAATACATTGCTAGTTCTAGAAATTTGCACAGTGATCACGTGATGACGATATTTCAAGCTTAAAAAGCCTGGTGTTAGTTAATGGCGCAATAATAAAATTCAAGATTAGTATAATGTATATTAATGTCTTTACTTTAGAATTTTGAAGTGGAAATGATAATTTATGGAAAATTGTGTTTTAATTTTTAATTGACATTTTAATTCGACTCACAATAATATACATTTACAATTTGATGCTCGAATTTCAATTTGACGTACAGTAACTCAATTTTAATTTACGCCCAGATATACGCCACAGCCCACGTGGAATTACCGTTTGTCACATAACAGATAATTCATAATTGTAAATAAAATTTTTTAAACCGTTATAACACCAACAATTTTATTATTAAAATTTCACCCCACGTGACCGGTGACATTTTAAAGGATGTGAAAAAAATGATTTTGTGAGGCAAAAAAAAACTAAGTCCCTCAGATAAATATAAACTGTGAAAACGCGGTGGGGTGTGATGCCGGTGATGAATATTGGGGTGTTGGTGTTACTGGGGAAGCTTATTAATTATCACCAAACACAAGTTTGTATTACTTATATAGCTGTGTCAAACAAAGGTTAATCGATTCACGAAGGTATTTTGCGTAATTATTTTGCATTGAGTTAAAAATTGATTATTAACGTAATATTTGTTTAGTAATTCTACAGCATGGAAATCCAAGTAACCAATTGTATAGTTTTTAGTAATTTATTAAAGTCCCCCAATCACTTATCAATTTAATCAAAAGGGCGCTCAACGACCCAGTGCCAAGAAAAACAATGTGAACTGTTGAATTCACTGAATCATTGTGACACCTGAACGAAGTTTAAAGTTGGGAATTTTGAATTTAATTAAATTACAAAAATATGATGTTTTTATTGTGTAAATATTTGTTCGCATGATTGGCATTAAATCTATAAAAATCATTAATTTCGTTTACTATTATTATATTTTTTCTTAATCATACAGTAATAAGATTAAAGGTCAGAAGGGTTGGAAAATTTAAAATATTTCTGTAAACAGGGTTCTTATTTTGTTTTTAGAAATTACAAATTTAAAACAATTCAATGAGATTATATGGATGGTTTTCTATTTACAATGTTTCAGGTTTTCTTGGCGATCTAAGAATTTTCTAGACCCTTCATTTATGAATGGAATGCTTGTATTCCTTATGTTGCATATTACAGGCAATATATAATTTGTCTTTTTCTCGTGAGATTAAAATAATAAACAAAAAGTCACAAAGGAGATTGAGATTGACAATGTTTACAATACATATGATCATGATTTTAAACAGACTTCGTTCTGTATAGCATTATATGCTAGTAAAAAACTGAAGAGTAGCAATAATTATACAAAAAATTTGATGAAATTGTGTGGCACGTAAAATATGTAAAATATGTATTTTTCAAAAATGGAAATGTGTTAATAAATTGGGTGTGGCAATACTGTTAATACTGTTAATGCTAAATACTATTTTGATTGGGGCTTATCGGAGTTAATTGTGCGCCATTTTACTAATCAAATTATTTTTACATTTGAATATATTTGGTTAATTCTCATTATTTTTTATTTTAGCAACGACTTTTTCAAATAAATACTAGACGAAATTTTTTTCTCTGGCTTTTGAAAAAGATTGAATATTTGTTGTTGTTGAAATTTTTTCTTCCTTTCTATAAAATAAAATAATTAATAATAATAAATAATGCACTCAAGCAATCCACCTCCATTAAATACTTCATTCTCTTCAATTCCTCCTTCAAAGAGAACTTCTGTTGTGTTTGAACCTTATGCCTTGCATATGATTGCAAGCGTTATTAGGGATTTACAATTTCTTCGTCAACAAGGTTATATTTCATTCGCTGCACTAGAAGAAATTATAGAAAGATTGCCAAAACCTGTAGTTCACGCGGCACCTCATACTCCTCCAGCTCCTTCACCTTCTTCCTCACCAATACCACAACCAGAGTCACCAGCTGTTTCTATAAAATCTGATATTTCACAAAAACGCAATTCAAATACTTCTATAACACAGAGACCTCCTTCAACGTCGTCTCAGCTTTTACAGCAACAACAATTACAACGAGAAGAGCAACCATTGCATTCTTTAGCACAAGGTAAATCTATTGCTGAAGAAGAAAATCAAAATCAACAGTTGCAACAAAAATCAGCGCGTCGACAAAGTCCTACAACCACACCTCAACAGGTTAATACGACACCACCTCCATTACAAAATTCTTCTCCCCCTTCCCAATCACAATTACAGCAAAATGAAGATGATGATGTTGTGAATGCTGGACAACCACAACTTGAATCAATTCCAAAACCTGCTGTACCTTCTCGCGCTTCTGTTTATCAACCAGTTTCTCCAGTTCCTTCAGTTCCTTCTCCACAATCTAGCTCAAATATAAGTTCAAACACTATTTCGAGTACAGGAGCTATATTGGCAACTAGACCTTTACCTTTGCCTCCAAATGCACCTAATTCATCACCCCCACGTCCCCAACCTCTTCCAATTTTCGATAATAAATATGAAGAAGCTGAATATGAAAAGTCAATTAATCAACAACAACTTAAAGATACTATTTTACCTGCCTATAGTCTTTCAATGGTTGAGGCCATGTGGGACTTTGTTAGTGAGTGATCTTTTTTTGGTTTTGGGAAAAAAAAAAAAAGAAATGTGGTATTAATACGTTCTTTTAATAGGCGATGATGTCGGAGATTTAAGTTTTAAAAAAGGTGATATTGTGGAAGTGGTTGAATATGGTAAGTTTTATATATATGTATTTTATATAATAATGTAAATTTTTCAGTAAACTAATTAACAATTAATTTATTTATTTTTCAACAGTAAATATGGATTGGTGGAAAGGTAGAATTCAAGGAACAAGTAATGTCGGAATATTTCCAAGAGTATATACAAAAATTTTGTAAGTTATGTTTAATTAATATTTTAAAATTGTATTTATATTATTCTAATTATTTCCTTATAATGCAGGAATACACAAGTTCCCTTTAATCAGGTTATACCTGATCAGCCGATATCAAATAATACTGCGTATTATAATCAAAGATTGCCTCAACATTCAAATACAATGTCACCTTACTCTTCACAGCATTATCAACTTTCACAGTCTCCTTCACAATTACCCTCGCAGGTACAACACCAACAATTACCTCCAACACAACAACAACAACAAAATACTTATACAACGTATCAACATCACCCATCATCTGTACAAACCGTATATGATTCTGTATATGCTAATCATACTTCAAATGTAGCTTCACAACATCATTATCTTAATACAAGAAACAGTGCAACTTCATTAAACAATCAACAACAATATTATAAATATAGTTAGTTGATGAAGAGGTGCGAAAAAAAGATATTTATGCTTATTAAATAATTATTTAGCTTTTTGTTAGAGTATATTTAATTTTTTTAAATTGCACCTAATTCCAATTCAAATATTGTGGAAAAAAGTAAAATAAAAAGATCATTAGATAATTTGGATTATTAATAGTTTCTCATTAGAGTATATCTTAATTCTTACAAAAAAGAAATTAAAACCGAATTTTTTTTTTCATTGTATTCTTTTGTAATTTAGCTTCTTGTTTTTTTATTAAAAAAAAAAGTGATTATTAAATGGTATGATTTTATATTATTTATAGCGGGGTTTCTTTTATTTTTGATTTGTTTTCATTTTTTATATAAATAAAACAAATTAAACGTGTATTATATATACAAAATACATATGGTTTGATTAATTTGCATTAATTTGCATTAAATAGTCCGATATTATTAATTTTGGATTTGTTTCACTTTAACGTTAAATTCTATATTATACTGTTGATCAATTCCCAAATACCCATCGCTAACTAAGAATATCGTATATTGATATTTCCCTTCTTTTTCCGGCGCAATTAACTTCAATTTGACTGTATGCTTATTAGAAAATTCTCCAAATTGTCCATTACGCATATTAACTCTTTTAAAATCAATTATACTATCAGATGAACTATTTCCTAATATCAACCACCACGACTCATATTGTGGTTTAGAAAATTTAGGTGCATAAATTTTACCATCATATCCAGATACTTTCTTTGCTCTCTCCAAAGATACTATTAGAGTACGTTCCTCCTTGGGAGCTATTGAATCATTAGTCATATCAATACGACAATCAACATCGATCAAAGGAATATTGTTGATAACTTTACATATCTACGAGATTACAAAAAAATATGAATACATATAAGTTACGTATTTGTTTTCGGAAAGAAGAAAGACAAAATTGATAGTATTAACCTTTTGAATTTCAGGTTCGGAAAGTCCAGTAACGTTTTTGAAAATATTAGAACATTCTTCTTCTGATAGATCCAATAATTCACCCAAACACGTGACAACATGTCCCTAAAGTATTACGATATTCAGTATTTAAATCACACGAAAACTTAATCCATCGGATATTTAATAAATAAATACCTCATGAGTAATTGAATCAATCATATGATTTTCAATTCCGGGAAGAATTAACAATGATGAATCTTCAGGCCAGCGGGATTGTTTGATACATTGCAATAATGACATAACATGAAGACATGGTGTTAACATACTTTTTTCAACAATAGTATCAATCATCGCCTAGTGAATTGATTAGAAATTATTAAAATCTTCGTACATAATAAATATTGACTAAATAAAATAAATTTTACTGCCTATTCTTGCCTGTAATATACGAATTGCCTGATCTAAAACAGAAAATGTATCCGTTACATAGTCAGATATTGGCAAATTAGTCCTTGTGAGATGAGCTTGCAAAAGCAGGAAGGCTTTTGCATGTGGATTATCATATGGTTGATGGGGTTGGACGGACCACGGAAGTTCTTTTTCTAAATCACGATTTAAAAGATCCTCATTGTGTCGAACCGGAAGTTCAGAATATTCATCCGAATCACATAAAATGCCTAAAATATCTCGAATAGTGGATTTAATTTGGACGCGATCTAGGAAGAGTCGGATAGTTTTGTGTGAGAGATAATAATATGAAGCGATCTTGCCAAAGGACGTTGATTCTACATTAAATTCGTCATCCATTTTGTCTATTTTAATACAACCAGAAAGATTCAGTTCAGACATAGATTTTTTAAACAATTTGATCAAATAGTCGTCAATAGCTTTATTCGTAGCTGCTTCCAATTCGTAATCATAATAAGTTGGGTTTTGTTGTAATCTACGATACAAGTAAGTATATTTAAGATATTGCACGGCCTCTTCTTCAGACTTTATGGTAGCAGCAACTATTTCAGCATTAAAATGGTTTTCAAGTTGCAAATGTAGACTGGATTCTACCGGAAAAGGTTCATACAAGAATTTTTTATAAAAGTTCTTTTTTGAATCTTGTATAAATATGCAAGCAACACCACTATTATCGAATTGTGGGCGACCTATTTAATTAATAAATTTAGTCGCATTAAATTAACAATAAGATTAATACGAAAAAAAAAAATATTTCACACACCAGCTCTACCCATCATTTGAAGTACATCAGTAATAGGAAAATCCACATATCCTCCAGACTTAGCATCATAAAATTCCGTTCCTTTGATTATCACCAAATGAGCAGGTAAATTTACGCCCCAAGCTAAGGTACTAGTCGCGACCAAAATCTGAATTTTTTGATTTAAAAATAATTCCTCCACAATTTTCCTATCACCTTCAGTTAAACCAGCATGATGCAATCCAATGCCGAAAGTGAGTGTATTTTTCATACTATTATCCTTAATTCGAGATAGAATCATTTGTAATTCTTCTTCAGGCATTCGCAAAAAATGATAAGGATTCTCAGTCAAACAACAATAAGCAATTAAGTCCTGAGCTGTCAAACGCGTTTGACGTCTCGATGAAACAAATACAATTACAGGTTTTTGAGGAGAATGCCTCATAATACTATTAAAAGCTGGTTTATTCATAGTAGCCATACGAGGGCAATAGTGCCTTCCGGAAAATCCTTCAATGTGAATTTCCAATGGAACAGGGCGTACTGTATGGCTAAAGTTGAACAGTCCATCCTTATCAATACCCAGCCAGTCAGCTAAATCTTGAGCATTTGCTAAAGCTGTTGATAATCCAACAATACGAACTTTCTTTTTAGTTTGAGAACCAATGTAATTCATACGTGATACTATGACTTCTAATGTAGGTCCTCTATCTCCGCCAAGTAAATGGATTTCATCGATAATCACAAGTGATACATCTTGCACATAACTTCTATGTTGCCAACTACGGCTAATACCATCCCATTTTTCAGGCGTTGTAATAATAATGTCAGAATTTTTAATAGAATGTAAGTCTGGGGTAACATCTCCTGTTAACTCGACAAGTCTTCTTTTCATTGGACCAGTTAATCTAGCTTGCCAATCATCTACACGTTCGCGAACTAAGGCTTTTAATGGAGCGATATAAACTACCTTAGAACGTGGGTATTCACGAAATGCCCACCTTAAAAAGTAAAGATTCAATTAATAATTTTCAGTATTAATTTAATACTAATACACACTTACCACATAGCTAGCTCTGCAGTAACTGTTTTTCCCGATCCTGTAGGTGCTCCAATCAATACATTTGTTGAAGAATTATAAAGCGTCTCAAATACTTGAGTTTGTACAGGATTAAAATGAGAAAATCTTTTAGCGCATATTTCTTCAAGTGTTTTATCTTTAAGATGAGTTATAGGTAATGGTGGTAATTTCTTCAATTCTGTATGTTGGTGATAATGTTTAGGCAAAACTATATTATTTAAAGAAATAGGAAGAGTTGACTCAGCTCCTATCCACCTATCTGAAATGACACGAATATATAATTGGGGAGGTAAAGGTTCTTGTACTGGAATTGTGAAACCAAGTTTTTGGGTTTCGCCAAGTTGCTTTTTATTTAGTATAAAATATTCTGAATGATATAATTCAACATTTTCAGAATCTTCAACAAATATCCACCATGGCTCTACAGTACCATGAATACGATCATTCCAAACGAAATCAGGAGTAATAATTAGAGTTACACGTAAAATGTTACGTGTAATAGGCGCAATTTGAGCCTCCAATATAAGCATTGGAAACATATCTACGCATTTGGAAATGATACTACCCATACGATTGTTTCGAACCAATTGTCCAAGTTCAGCTGGGGGCATATCTCTCATTTCCTCTATTAAAGGAGTATATGAATTAGATTGAAGTTTCATTTTAATCTCTCGGGGCAAATTAAATTGAGCCAAAGGTGTCTCATACATCCACATTTTTTTGTCAATACATTTGCAAAAAGTCAATAGAATAACCGTCACTTGGGCCCAATTACGATTCACTGCAATTTCAAATAAAGCTCTAATTATGCGACTTGCATTTTGAATTACATATGCCGAATCAGATACTAAAGCAAAATCCTTAATAGTAGCATTCGACAAATATGATTGTAATAATATATTAACTTTTCCTGGAGTTGAATCAATAGTTTGCTATTGTTATAATAAATAAAATATTAACACCTTAGCTACTAATTTAAGAAAAATTTCCTTATGTAGAATACAACCTTAATCTGACAAGAACAAGCATTCTTCTTAAGATCTTCTAGTTCTTTAATCTCTTCTTCTCTTGATTTCAAATCTTCGAATTCACTACTTTCACTTATCATTGATAGAACATCAGCTTCAGTCATACGTTCTTTCAATTGACGATCAAAAATTTCTATACTCTTATATCTTATATAATAATTTGAAGCGATACGACCCATATCAGTAATAGCAAAATAATCAGTCTCTTTTTCCAACTCAATCATTTTATTTTTATGAAGTGCGTTTGCAGCATCTACTATAAGTTCTCGTCGTCGTTTTCCTAGCTCTGGATCCTCTATTGGCTGCGAGTGGTCCATTCCATATACGAGCGGATTCTTTTTCATACGTACAAATAAATACGTATAACCAAGCCATCGAACTCCTTCATCAACATTTGTTACCGTGCCAAGCGAAATCTCTGCATTTAAATTGTCGACCATACTACTTACGAATCTATAACAATTAAAAAAAAAAATTATACATATATATATGGGATGTTTATTCGAGAGTAAATCTCAAGCTAAGCTGAAACTTACTTTGATTCAATTGGATGTTGTTGTGTCATCGCGGAGACATAATGTGGTAATTTATCAAGTGTTGTTAAAATATAACCAATCCCGTATGATTCATACTAATTTGTTTATATAAAATAAAAATGATTAAAGGTCGAATAACTTCCTGTTAAGATAATCTAAATTAACAAACCTGTGGACGACCTGCTCTACCAAAAATCTGCATAACATCTAAAATTGATAAATCAACAAAATTACCCTTTTGGGTATCATAAACTCGTGTTCCCTTAATTACAACTGCATAAGCAGGTAAATTAACACCCCAAGCTAACGTTGCTGTACAACATAAGACCTATGTATAAAAGCATAAATTAAAAAACCTCCCAAGTTAGATATTAAGTCAAGATATCGAATACCTTTATGAATCCTTCAGAAAACAGTCGTTCTGTCATTGTTCGATCTGATCTTAACATGCCAGCATGATGGATACCGAAACCTTGTGCAAACAATTCTATTAATTCTTTATTTCTTGATTTAGATACTTCTTGTTTGATTAACCCAAACCGTTCATGAGTAGAACTATCAAAAATATCTTGTATTTAAAGGAATAAAAAAAAATATTACTTTTAATGTAAGCAAAAAAGATCATAAAAATTTAGCTTGTAAATTAAAAAAAAAATCATCTATATATATTCTCATATATTCTCTAAAGAAATTATATATATACCTGAACATCCTTCTTTGACAGCGAACTCGCTTAGTGTTCTTGCAGTTTTAACGGTGTCTTTACGTGAATGAACAAAAACCATCACTTGATGGCCTTCCCTAACAAGATCCGAGACCTAAAAATTATATTAAAAATGTCAATAAATTATTCAATACTATACAATAAAAATACTTAACATTTGGAAAATTTACTTTATCCCAGCAAACCCGATTGAGATTATTATTAGAAACAGTACCGAAACTACCTTTGACGCCAATAAAATGTTGTTCTAAAGGTACCGGTCTAAACCCCCCACCAAAATAAAATAATCCCTCTGCACCATTTTTTAGATCAACTCTAAGAATTAAAATATATTAAATTTCTTATATAATCGATTAGAAATTAAATATTATACAAATACCCTAAAAATTGAGCTACATCAATATAATTTGGTAATGTAGCAGAAAGACCAACGATACGGATCATTTTTTGACTTGATTCAATCTGAGATGAATCCGTAAAAATTATGCATAAGTATCAAATATAAAACAAGTAACGAATTAATCAAAGTTATGAAATACCTGGCGATGAGTACGTGCTACTAAACTTTCAAGAACAGCGCCTCGGTCATCATGTAATAAATGAACTTCATCAATAATAAGAAGTTTCACTTTCTGTACATAATATAAATATAAAGTTGTCTGTTAATATGCATTTAAAGATTATTAGTCAATTGAAGAATCATACTTGAGAAAGTTCGACATCTCCAGTGCTTTTTCTTGTAATTACATCCCATTTTTCTGGAGTTGTAACAATTATTTGTGTACTTGAAATTTCACCCTTAGTCAATTGCATGTCCCCTAAAATCAATAATATAAGCATATTGTTTTGACACGCAATATTTAGTACCATTTTTTGATGAAAGTAATTAATACCTGTAAGTTCTCTAACTTGAATACCGAGCCATGCTAATCGATTGCCAAGCTTTTTTACAACTTCAGCCGCAATAGCCTTCATAGGAGCAATATATATAATTTTAAATTCACTTTTTTCAATAGTAAATTCTTGAGGTTCTTGTGTAGATAAAGGCTCAGGATAACAGTAATCTCTTATAGTATGTAATATTGTAAGCATAGCTATATCTGTTTTACCCTACATTTAAAATATACGTTGGTTTAATATTACTGGAATTTAATGGAACAAATGAAATCTACTAAATACATACAGCTCCAGTAGGTGCACAGATTAACAAATTTATATTTTTTTTGTATGCAATGGGATAAACAAGTGATTGTACACGATTCAGTGATCTATAACCCTGTTTGATGAAATTACATATACATAAGAAATCTTAAATTATTATAATATTATAAGAGAAAATAGGGTATAGACACGTGCCTCAAATGAGCCCCTGCAAAGAGTATCCATATCACTCAAATGAATTAATTGTTCATCTTTCATCTGTGGAGCTCGTTTTGTGATTGGAACAATAATTTCTTCGTGAAGCTGTAAAACAACTATTGTCAACTTTAAACAATTTTTACTCAATAAATTGACGTGAATCACTTACATCATAATCTTTACGTTTAGTACCAACTGGCAGAGAATATGTGGACCCAAATACAGAAAGTATGCTACCCGTTTCTGTGTTTCCAAAGACATGTTTAAAATTCTTGGATGGAGTAAACTATTCAAATATAAAATAAATATAAAGATTATAACCAATTTATCAAACACTTTAGAAAGTTTGGTAAAGAAATAAACCAACACTTTGAGGGCGAAGTGGAATGTCTCTGGCAGAACGTAATTGTTGCTCTCTAACAGAGCGTAATACATCACCGCGAAATCCCAGAATATTTGCCGAAATTGACTCCTCATCCTCTTTATTAACATAAATTATAATTAATGTTGATCTTAAAATATAAATATGTATTATTAAGAAATTAGCATTAAAAGATAATAACACCTGATTCTTTTTTATGTTTCGCTGCCTTTTTTTGTTCTTTCCGTAAACGTTTTTTTTCTTTGAGATCATCTTCTGATTGAATAGTATATTGAGAACCAAATATAGGACGTTTAGATTCAGTTTTATTAGGTAGTTGCTGTGCAGGAAAATTTTCCTGCTGATCCTGTAAAATGATTCAGTATTAATAAAAAAAAATTTATAAAAACTGAATTAAAGCTTTATAGACCTACTGGTGGTATTTTTTGATAATGTGATTCTCTACTTATATTTTCAACAATTGTAAACCGTTTAGTTACAAGTGTAGTAACAAAATTTAAATTATCGAAACCGAGAAGATCGACTAGTTCAATTTGAATATCGTCATCTGATTGACAATTATTGCACATCAGGTACCATGTCTACTAGAAACCAAACAAAATTTATAATATCATAATATCACAAACCGTCACTTTCAGATCTTAAAATTGTAAAAATATTTATACATAATTTTTCGGGTATTATGGCTCCATCTGCATCACCGAATGATTCAATATGTAACCGACACTGCCTAGAATTCGATTAAGATTATTGATTTAATGTAAAGAAAATTAAACATACAAAGGAACAAACCATACCTTAATAACCATTCTTTGCCATACGAATCATTATTACTTATATAGTCGAAGGCAAATTGATCATCCATGTAAGCATCTTGAATACCGTCTTCATAAATGTAAGAATCATTTTCTGAAAAGTCTCCATAGAAATACATGGTCGGAAGGCTATTATATGTAAGATCAGACCCATATTCATTTTCCAATAATTCATCTAAAAATTCCGTAAATATCATAATGAGAAAATTAAAGATTTTAAAAATTTAAGGGTTATTGTATGTAAGAACAAACCTCGAAAATCATTTTGAACGCTTTATAATTAATAAAATTCAATTAATAAAAGAATTTAAATAAAGCATTTTTATTAATCTTAGTCAACATTCTAATTAAGCTTTAGTCACCTTTGACTTTCTTGAAGACTTTCTTTGAATTTCGACAATTTTGCCTCCCATTCTTCTTGTACTTTATTTGCATACTCTAATAAATTCGTTGCAAGATCAACTACAACGGCCTTTCCTTTACCTTTTCCTTTGACTGTACTAACATCATTTTTACGCAACAGGTCAGAAATTCTCAAATAACTAGAAATAATCATATCGAATTTTTTTTTTACAAGGAAAAGGTTTTAAAAGGAACTGAGCTTTTTTTAGATTTCGGAAAAATTCATATTAGATCTGCAAAAATAGGGATGGCATCTGGTTGGCTGACTGGTTTTGGGTTTGTACTTCAAAAGTGACTGGCACGTGACTGCATTTTATTCATCACAACCGTCACACCCCCTGAGGGACTTAGTTTTTTTAGTTTTTTCCTTACCCCTATTTTTATTCCTTTTTGGTCATATTAGTGGTCATATTCCTTTTTCCCAGTGCGTTTCTTTTTATTTTTTTTATTTTAATCGTTTCATCTTGGCTGGTTCTGTCGTGTTCTGGTCGAGGTTTTTCTTGAAACAACTTGAGGGGTCCGGCGTTTGCTGGATGGTGTCTTTTTGAATAGCGGCTTTTAGCAATTTATATTCATGTAATGATCTCCCGATTTACAATAAATAAATAAATAAATAAATAAATACTTAGTTTTTTTAGTAGGTAAAACTTATTCGTCACCCTTATTCGTCACTGATTATTTTCACGTGTTAGTGCATAACGCCGTAATGCGGGCCAAAAGTCACGTGTCAGTCACTTTTTTTTTCGCCATACTATTTCGGATCCTATTCTGAATTTGAAAATCCATAGTTCCATACCGACAATCTGCCGATCTGTAATATAAAATTGAAAAAATTTTTTTGGTCGTAATTAATTTTTCCTTCCAGTCTGATAAATGCCGCCAATTTCAAAATTACATACAGAGGAAGGCTTCGTAGAAGCCACTGATTTGTCTCGATGGAGACTCAAAGTTGGTCATGGAAGACAAATATGGCATTATCTAGAAAACGGCGAAGTTGAGAATTGGCCTCAATCTATAATAGAAAAATATTGGCTGGGTTTACCATTTGTAAGCCACAAAAATTTTTTTCCTTTTTTAGTTTGAAAAATGTGAACAGTTCTGCATTAGGGAAAAGTAACTATGCTCTAGTCATAATTTTATAATTTGCACTACTAACCCGCAAATGTTGCAATGAGCGTGGTGAGAGGAGGTATAGAGTAGCTTTAGGATGCCCCAATCTTAGTGAGCTTATAAATGAGTTTCCATTAGGTTTAGGAATTGCAAGAAGCGGCAAAAACCTAATACCTATATCATAATTGTTATCACTCCTTTACTGATATCAAATATTTGAATTTTATTGTCTAGGAATCAAAGGAATTTGACAAACCGAAAACTGCACTTGAGGCAGCACGAAATGGATTTGAATTCTTTAAACAACTCCAAACTGAAGATGGTCATTGGGCCGGTGAATATGGTGGACCAATGTTCTTACTACCCGGGCTTATAATTTCAATGTACATTACACGTATTCCTATTCCTGAAAGTTGGCGAATTGAAATTATTCGATATCTATTTAACAAAGCCAACCCAGATGATGGTGGATGGGGAATGTATGTTAATTATAACATTATTTTTTAATTGCATGGACACTGAATGATAAATATTTTTTAAGACATACTGAAGGCCAGTCAACAACATTTGGAACAGCGTTAAATTATGTTGTTGTTCGTATTCTTGGGGTGGATGCTGATCATCCATATATGGTCAAGGCTCGTGCAACTTTGCATAAACTTGGTAAATTATTTATTTTTATTTATTTTAGTTTATAATTACAAATAACCGCTCATTGTTTTGATTATAAATTATAGGAAGTGCGATTGCAATACCATCATGGGGTAAATTTTGGTTGGCGTGTTTAAATGTTTATGATTGGGAAGGAATGAATCCTATTCCACCAGAATTATGGTAAAAATTTTTTTTCTGTTTCAAATTTTTTTTAGATTATCATTTCAAAATTTTTTTTTTATTAATAAAGGTTGTTACCATATGCAATACCGTTTCATCCTGGCCGATATTGGGTTCACTGTCGTGCAGTTTATCTTCCTATGGGATATATGTATGGAAGAAGACTTAGTGTTGACATTAATCCTTTTATTGAATCATTACGACAGGAATTATATGTTCAACCATATGATACTATTGATTGGGTTCGAGCAAGAAATAATGTATCAAATGCTGATATTTATTTACCACGTACAAAGTCTTTAACACTTATAAATAGTAAGTTATTTTATTTAAATCTTTTCTTTATGAATTGTTTCATTAAGGAAATAATTGGGTTGATTTTTTAGTTATCTTGAATGTATATGAAAAACTTCCTAATTTATTTGGTTTACGTCAAATTTCTCTTGATGAAGCTTATAAATTAATGCAATATGAAGATGAAAATACAGATTATCTTGACCTTGCTCCGGTATGTATTAATGTTTGTAATTTAACAATATTATAACATATTTATGTTATGGCTTATTATAGGTTAGCAAAGCAATACATATTCTTTGCACTTATTATGAAGAAGGATCTAATTCTGAAGCATTTAAACTTGCCAAGGAAAGGTTAATCGACTTTATGTGGATGAGCTCTGAAGGAATGATGATGAATGGTACGAATGGTTCACAGCTGTGGGATACTGCATTTGCAGCTCAAGCATGTATTGAAGCAGGATTGGCTAATAATACTGAAAATCATAAAGTTATGTTAAAGACGTTGGAGTTTTTGGATGATGCTCAAATTAAACGTAACCCAACTAATATGGAATATTGTTATAGACATCCATCCAAGGGCGCTTGGGGATTTAGTACACGTGACCAAGGGTATACTGTATCAGATTGTACTGCCGAAGGAATGAAAGCAGTTTTATATCTTCAGAATAGACTGGACTATACACCCAATCTTATTTCAAAAGAAAGACTTTATCAAGCTGTAGACATTTTGTTAACTATGCAAAATAATGATGGTGGTTTTGCTAGTTATGAAAAAGTTCGTGGACCAGAATTTTTAGAATGGATCAATCCATCAGAAGTGTTTGGTAAAATTATGATAGAATATAGTTATCCAGAATGTACGACTGCTGTATTAACTGGATTAAGCATCTTTAGAAAATATTACCCTGATTATCGTGCTGATGAAATTGAGTAAGTGATTATATAATTAATAAATTTCAAAGAAAGGATTAATTTTTATTTAAAAAAGTATATAATTATAGGAAAGTATGTCAAAAAGCAGCAAATTTTATACATGCAACTCAAAGAAATGATGGAAGTTGGTATGGTTCATGGGCTATTTGTTTCACATATGCTTCAATGTTTGCTCTTGAAAGTTTAGCATATTTTGGTGAAACTTATAATAATAGGTAAAGTTTTCATTTTGTTTATTTTGAACTTTATATGAGTTATTGTTTTAACTGATTATATTTTATTAGCAAAAGTGTAAGGAAAGGATGTGATTTCTTAATTTCTAAACAACGTAAAGATGGTGGTTGGGGAGAAGCCTATAAAGTAATTTAATTCTAATTCTTATAAATACGTTATTTAAATTTTTACAATTTAATTAATTATAAATTCCTTAATAATATCTAGTCATGTGAAACAGGAATTTACCATGAACATTCCCAATCTCAAGTTGTGAACACAGCATGGGCATTATTAGGTTTAATGTCAGCTAAATATCCTGATGAAAAACCAATTCAACGTGGTATTGAGGTAAAAATTGTTAATTAAAAAAAACTTTAAATTATATTGATTTTAAAAGGATTTTGACATGATTTTTAACATATTATTAGCTTTTAATGTCAAGACAATTAAGTACTGGAGAGTGGAAACAGGAAGCGATTGAAGGAATATTTAACAAAAGCGTTGCAATCAGTTATCCAAATTACAAATTTATTTTTACAATTTGGGCATTAGGAAAATATGCTAAAATTTATAATAATCCAATAATTAAATATTAATATGGTATAATTAGATGGCCATATTATATAACTAAAATTATGTTTATTTTTTTTTTTTTTTATGATTTATATATGCTTTATTGATATTAAGTTTATATACCATACAAACAAATTATCATGAGCTATATCCATCCAGATCATCAAAATACAAATAAAAATAAAAGAAAAATAATAATAAATGATACTATATCTATTGATTTAAATTACAATGATTTTGATTTGATTTTTTTTTTTTTCTTTTTATCCAACCCTTTTTTTCTGCACGTCTGAAATCTGTGCCAGGTTAGTGTCGATCACGGTGACAAATAACGGTGACAAATAAATTTTTGGCACAAAAAAAATTCTCTGTCCCTCAGATACTTAGTGTTTTTGAACTCGTGGCTGCACGTGATCAGGTGACGCGCATTCCTATTATAGAAGTGATCGACACTAACCTGGCACAGATTTCAGACCAGCATTTTTTCTTTCAGAATTAATGAATTTAAACCTAAATAAAATTAGTTATATTGTTACTAGGTCTATTATAAGTTTATAATATTGTTAATAATATTTTTTGTCTTCTTATAAGTTCAACTATACCACTCCCACTCTATAGCATTTTAATAAAATGTAATTTTCATTTAATAAGTTTTCAGACTATACTGAATCCAACTCAAATGGAATATCATCAAGTACTGCAATTTAATTTTCCTATAAATCTGAAAAATTATTCTTTTTTAAAAGTTGTTTATTCTGTTCTGAGTGTTTAACCTTTTAAATTTCTTGAAAGTAAATTCCATATTGAGTACTTTATCCAAGTTAGCTCAAATATCATAATATGTAATTAACTTTCTATATGTTCACGTTTTTGAATGATCTTGTATGCATAGCAGCCTTTATAAAGTGCAAGCAATGATTGAGCTAGATTTTTGGTGAGGTACAGAACACTTGCATTGAGGCCAATAGGTATATTCATAAATACAGCCTGGAATCTTTTGCATTCTTTGTATTGCTTCAAAGTTCAGAATACTAGAAATCATTTTACAGGCAGTCCGCCAAAAGGAGCTATCCAAGTAGAGCTGAAAATAGAAATCAAAATTTACTGGCCAGATATCTGATGAAAAAATATTTTACCAGATTTTTTCTATAAATAGTTAAAATTTATCAGCTTTATTTTTTGGGTAAATTTATATCTAGCACCCCTATATTATGCTTAAATCTAACTTCTGAGATGCGATTTACATAAATCTCACGTGAAAAAAAAATTTTCTGAAGTTTAAACTCCAGAGTTAATTTTATTTGTACAAATTTTTTACTGTATTCTTATATCGCAAAAATATTCTTATATCACAAAAATTAAAATCAACTTAGTGATTTTATTGGTTTAGATACAATTAACATCACACGTCGAATGACCAAAAACAGGCAAAAAAAATGGCTAGAATTGCATAAACTATTCGCAAATTTATATAAACTATTTACAAATAGTATAGGTTAATTCGCAAATAGCCAAAAACAGCCAAGAATAACTAAGAATAGCCAAAAATAGCCAAAAATAGCCACTGCTTTTCACGCCATTTTTTTGCCAATTTTTAGCATTTCGACCTGTGCATGTAAAGATATGATCACGTTACAAAAAAAAAATAAAAAATCTCTGTCAAATATATCATGTAATATAAACCAACAGCTATACAAAGGTATTCTCATTTGTCTTTTAGGCTTGTTACTTATTACCTGCATTTTTATGAAAAGCAGCGTTGTATCCTATTCCATTACAAACGTAACATTTATAAGAGCCCCTAGTTTTGGGTCTTTCTCGAACACTTTACTCTTTCTCTACACTACTCAAATACCTTCATTTAGGCGGTCGACCTTTAGTAATAACTCTGTTCAGATTCTTTACAGTTTGGATGTTTATATTATTTATTTCTCTTTCTTTTTCAGTTTCATCCTTCTCTATTTGACTTCTATCTAATATAAAGTTAGTATCACTATCATTTATTTGCATTTCTTGAGAATTACTGGATATTTCATCAGTAGCGTCAACAGCAGGTCTTTCATCAATAGTGGGTCTTTCATCAAGCGCTGAAGACATTTCAGGCGTATTTTGGTTTGATTTTCTTTTAATATAATCTTGAAGAATAATAGTTATTTCATTATCTTTTTGTTCAACTGCAAGTAAAGTGGCCGTTCATGCTAATTCCCACACACAGCCATATAAATTCCTTTTATGAACAGCCTTTTTAAGTATAGGAACAGTTGTTGGAATTGTGGCAGCAGGAGAGTCATTGCTGCTCCCTCCACCTGTTTATAATGACAAAAAGAGGGAGTCTTCAGTAGTAAGGTTTAGTATTAAATTACATCGCAACACATCGTGTTGATACATTGTTAATATTACCAATGTGAATTTATGTTAAATATAAATAATATAAATATTATAAATTTAATAATGTTCATGATTTTTACAAATAAATAAAAAATTTTTACGATTTTAATGTAATCAAGTGTAATGTTACGTTATCCAGTGTAATTGTTATATTTTTTTGTGTTTTTTAGTGCAATTCCACATTTTTTAGTGCAATTCCGAATTTTCTAGAATAATGTTACATTTTTCAGCATAATACGAAATTTTCTAAAAAATATAATAATTGTGGTATTTTTTTAGTGTAATGCTACATTTTCTAGTGTAATTACGGTATTTTTAGTGCAATGCCGCATAATCTAGTATAATGCTACATTTTTTAGTGTAATTTAATGTAAGGCCGCTCCAAGCTAATTCTTTGTTTAACATAACATAAAAGTCCCAATCTAGGGGGGGGGAAACAAAAAATAATACATAAAATAAAATACATGGCCAGAATTACCATTAATTTTAGCCAAAATTTTGATCAAAAGAGTAAGCAAAATTTTGGATGATAATTCCAGCTAAAACTTAAAGATTTGTCTAATTCTGGCCTAAATTACATGTAATTTTTTTACATAAAAAATCCAAAAACAGGGGGGGTTATGTTAACGAAACATTGAATTGGTGCGGCCTAATGTGGAATTTTCCAAAAAATGTGATAATTGTGATGCTTTTTAGTGTAATTTGGTGAAATGCTACATTTTCCAGTGTAATGCTATATTATTGAGCATTTCCTTGTAATATTTTAACATTCTGACGAAAATGAAATATTGGACCAAAAAAATGTAAAATTTGCTAAAAATATGCAACATTTGACAAAAAATATAGAATTTTCATAAAAAAATGCACCATTTGCCAGAAAATCGAAATATTTGATAAAATTTGATTTTAATTGATAATGTTATAACAATTTTATGAAATGTTGTTACAATGACATCACATTGGAGATAAAATGCGGCATTTTCATAAAAATGCACCATTTGCAAGAAAATTGGAACATTTGACAAAAAAAAAGCAAAATTTGATTTTAATTGACAATGTTATAACAATTTTATGAAATGTTATTATATTTGAGGTAAAATGTGGAATTTTTATAAAAATGCACCATTTGCAAGAAAATTGGAACATTTGACAAAAAAAAAGCAAAATTTAATTTTAATTACAATGTTATAACAATGTTATAAGAATGTTACGAAATGTTACATTTGAAATATAATGTAGCATTTTCCCAAATTTTCATAAAATTTGCTAAATCAGACAATGTTGTAACAATGCTATTCCAAAAAATTGCTCAGCGTAATGCAGCATTTTCCACAATTTCCCACCATTTTCCAGGAAAATGTGGAATTTGCATTTTTTGAATTTTGGACAATGGTGCCCCTTTGACCTGTAAAATAACTGAAGTAAAAATACATTTTATGACATAACTCTGTCAATATTGAAGCTAGGAATTCGATTTTACTATCATTAGAATCCTCTCATCAAGACGAATCTAATGATATAAATTTTATTAAAATCAAATCACTGGTTATGTTAAAAACAGAGGTATGTAAAATAACGAAATTTTGAAAACATCTCTGTAATACACAACTTTTGAAAAATTTTAATATAAACTCTACGCAAACTCAAATATAAGTTGTATCAGTATTATTCAAGATCCTGATACATTCATATCCTTGAAAACTGGTGGAAGTAAGACTTTATGTTATGCCTTATCAGCCATTTGCTTTGAAGGTTTAACTATTGTTTTTAGTTCTCTTAAAACGCTTATAAATGACTAAAAAGTTAGAATGAACTTTGTTATATGTTATATTGTATTTTTATACTTATGATTATTATTTAATTTTATATCTCAGCAAAAACTCATAAATGCAGGTTGTAAACGAAGTGCAAATTGTGGTGAATTTTAGGCAAATTTTTAGTAATTTTATGCAAACGTAATGCAAATTGTGGTGAATTTAGTCAAATTTTTAGAAATGTTATGTAAACGAAGTGCAAATTGTGGTGAATTTAGTTAAATTTTTAGTAATTTTATGCAAACGTAATGCAAATTGTGGTGAATTTAG